TGAAAAATTGATTTTGCAAGTAAAATTATTCTTCTATTGGTGTTGATTAAAGTAATCGAATTGAATTAGTTTAACCGAATACCTGATCAAAAAAAAAAAGTTAAGATTTTAAGATAAGATTTATTATTTTAAATGCAAAAAACAATTAACTAGCAATGACTAAAGAAAGTTCTTCAATAATCATGAATAAAAAATTTATTTGAACACAACAAATAATCATGTGGTTGATTTAACCAAAATTTTTTCACAAAAAAATAGAAAGAAAACAAATGAAAAAACAAATGAAAAATTCACACAAAGAATATTTCTAATAAGAAAAATATAAAAAAAATGCTTTTAATCGAAAAATTTATATGAGAATAGTATGCATATTTTCGGTTTGTGCACAACTTATTAATTTTAATATTCAGTAATAAAATCCAATAACGCCTTATTACGGAAGTTTTTACTAATCTTATACGTAGATACAGAACCATTACAACAGTAATAAAATTTTAAATAATAATAAAAAATATTAACATTCTTTTCTCTTTTCTTTTTCTAAAATCAGGCATACCCACCATGAAAATTTTCAATTATGGCAGATCAAAATCCCACGAAATCAAAATATACCTATGCAACTACCAATCAAACTGTGCCTCCAACACAAAGGTGCTACAACTTCTCCCACCCTCCACCCTACCGGACCAAAAGCTGGAGCAACTAGAAAAATTTTGAGACAAAATGTCTACATCGGAAAGCTGACGAATAGCAATGCAACAAAGAATACACGCGATGTTCTAAGATCTTGACCTTTTTTTCCTGAATTGCGTCTGGTTTGATTAAGGCTCAAAACATCTTACATGAACCACATTTTATGATGTTTATGAAACAAAAAATCAAACGATCTGCTGATGCCTACTTGCCAATATGGATGCACTATAGGCAGAATCTATGACGCCTCAGGAAGAGCTTTGTGTCGTTAATCCTCGTTCTCAATATTGCCCAAATTAACTCACTGGTACGTATTGGATTGCTCTGTCTAAGTTTATGAAGAGGATAAGAAGACGTGAATGTTAGTTTTATTTAGTAGACTGATCCATAGTGTATGTACATCATCCAACTAAATAATCAATCTATACGTTCTCCCTCTTAATATATATAATATTAAATGATATCTAAAACTCTTAGTTTTTAAATTATCCCACAGCCAAACTTCCATTAAACGGAGAGGAAATCCATTTGCAAACCAGCTGGAGTCTATGATTAGGGAGCCCGAGGTGGCGGAGCCATAAAACACCCTATTGAAATGATTGGACGGAATTTTGACTTCCCTTAATGGTGGACTTGAGTACGCTTTTGCCGGCAACTTGAATTTCCTTCTGTACACTGGAAGGAGAACCAATGTATAGACACGGTGCAGGTGGTCGATGAGGGAACTCCATAAAAATAATGAAATATGGAGCTTGATTTGTTTTGATTCAGAATTTTACTGAACAGTAGGACCTTCAGGAAAGCAAAAAATCATAATATGGAATTCCATTTGGACTTTGATCTTGATTTGCCAACAGTTGAAAAGTTATCTCTACCAGAGAGAGGTTAATATCTCTCTAGCCTAATAAAAGAGAACAGAGATTAAATATAGACTACGCCTTAGCTTTATGACTATTCTTATCCCCGATTACTGTCAAAAACCCTCAAGCCTTCTTATACATTAGACAAAATGATACTATAATACCGGGAACTCATGTATGAACATATGAATATTAAATAGGGAATGTATCAAACTATATTTTCTCAAGCCCATGTAAGAGTTACAATATTCTAAATTCTCCCATATATACAATAATATCTATTAGGAAATGGTACCTAAAACCCATAATTAACTATTATAAATTAAATGAATTTCTTTATTCTTATCTAAAAAGAAATACCGTTAAAAAACCCTACATTAGTGTTATTGTTCTTATACAATAAAAATTAAAACATGTATATGCATATTATCCTGTGATTTGATTAAAGCCATTCTTGTTTTTCTTTTCTTTTCTTATGAAAAAACTTTTTTTTCTTATTTTTTTCCTTTATTATCTGAAATTTGGTAAAATCAATTGAGTTCTTATATCATTTTTATAATTTAACATTGTAAATTAATAAAAATTAAATTGATAAAGAGGACAGAGCTTGTTATAATAAGAAAATAAACACTTGGTCTTATTTTTCTTAAAAAAAAAAAAAAAAGAAAAAAAGAAAGGAAAATGAAACGTGGGCGATGTCGTTTACCTTCCTCGTCCCCTGCCTCGATTGTCAACTCAAAAAAGGAAACAAAACAAATTCAACCAAAATACGTATTCTCAAGATTCCAACGTCTTGATTTGCCTCTGTTGACCCGATCCTCCTGTTTTCCTCTCTTTAATTTAAATTTATTTTAATTTTTTTGTCACCATGATCTGCTCCTTAGTCATATTCCCCTAACTTCTATAGTGTCTAACCTGTACGCAAACTCCAAATTCATTTGATCAGTATTTCCAATCATCGATCCAAGAACATCCCAAATTCCCATCTGGGTTTTACTCCCACATACCCATCAGAATCTCAATTGGGTCGAATTGTGTTATGGCACCAAACGAACGCCCAAGAATCCTCACCCTTCGCACCGAGTTAACCCTATCCTTTCAATCCTTCTTTCCCGAAACTGATGGGTATCTCTTTACCTCTCACACTGTGCTTTGGCCTGACACAGTCCCTCTCCTTATCTCAAACTCCCAGATGTTGGAAATTTTACCGAATTCAGGCTCCAGTCTTTGGCATTTATAAAGGAGAGTTCAGAGGGTTAAATTCCGTCGAGATGGTGATGTGCCGTAGAGGCGATTAGAGGTAATTTGCCGAGCATATGGGGGCCTGCAGTGACAGTGGGGGTTCAGAGTTTACAGTTTAATTCTCCAAGAGCTGTTGCCACGGGACGAAGCAAAAGCTATGAGCCAATATGGCACCCATGACTGGACCTCTCTTGCTTGGTGTCATAACTCGTTTGGGTTGTTGTGGGAATAAAAAAGTACTTGTGGATCAAATAAGTGTATGTTAATACATTTCATCTTTAAACTGTAGAAAACCCTCACTAGATGTACACAAAGCGTCCGGTGTGTCGATCTACCAATTGAAGGCGGACTTTGGTCAATAGACCGACGAGTGGGAATGGTGATCATCGTTGGTGTGAAATTGCTGCTCATCCTTGGAACACTGAGTCCTATAGTGTTGCACGTGTTGTTTTTTCCTATCATTTCTACCAATTTTTTAATTTTAAATTTTCAATAAAGAACAATTTAACATAAATAATAATCAACAACAAAATAAAAGTATACAAATAATTGAAAAATTAGATAAAAATATTTAAATTATAGTTGATTCTACTGTATTCATGTTCTTCGTTCATACTAAAAAGTTTAATAAAAAGTTCCGTAGTCAAGAAAAAAAAATCGAAAAAAAAAATATTTATAATAATTTAGAAAAAAATTAATTTATTTATAGAATAAAAATCTTTCACTCACACCAATAATAACTAACCACCTAATAATAATAAACTTTTCCTATAAAGAAAAATTATGATGTCTGAAATTAGAAAGGAAGGAACCAACAGTAATTATAATAAACATGAGAAATTAGAGAGACTAGTATATGAGTGAAGTGGCCAACAAGAGTCTAAAATAATACGACATATAACAATGATTATATAAGACTAGATAATACTATATGCAACCTATAAGCGACGAAGTTAAACTATTTAGTGAATTTTCAAAGTTTGAATTTACAATTCCGCAACTAAACAAATTGGTTATTATATCTGACCTTTATTCTGATTTAGATAAATTCTGATACTGAAACCAAAGTGAGTTAAATAATTAAAAAAATGAAATTAGAAATATTATTAATTAAGTATACCAGTGTAGATTGGAGTAAAAAGAGGAGTACTTACTGTTAAGTATGGTCACCGGTAATCCCTATTACTATGGCATCTTATTAATACATAAAATAACTGATAGAACTAATTTTTTTATGTCCTTCCTTTTCCGCTTTTACATTTAGTAATTAAGACCTAAATGAATCCGTCACAACAACCATTTGTGTCGAGTTGGATGTTACTTCTAGTAAATAAGCTTCTTTACCCCAGATAGGTACCCCGATTTTATCTGAATATTTGTTACCTTCTGTATTATGTAAATGGTTATCTTGAGGTTTGTAAATGTTTCTGATATTTGATTTGAGAAGAAGTATGCGATATAAATGTGTTGTGTCTGGCACACTCTCATAATTTGAGAAAATATTTAGTGAAGGATTTTTTAAGTATTAAAGAAATTATATCGTTTATTAAGAGTGATTAATTAAGAATTTAATAGGATAAATATAGGTATATAGAGAGATAACTATTTGTTAACTAAGAGTTTGTTAAGAAATGATAACTTTTTTATCAAGATTCACACAAGAATAGAGGAGATGCCTGACATAAAAATTAGTTGTATTTTTTTGTTTTTTTTTTTGCTCTTGTTATTATAAAAGAAATCAGAGAGCTTGTGTTAAAACACGTGGTTTAAAACCAATGTTTTTTTTTTTTTTTTTTTTTTCTCTTTTGAGAAAGTAGGTAGCAGAAAACACATAATATTGCTCGGAGGAGAATTTATATCACCAACATAAAATAAAATCTTCCGAATGCTACACATCCATAATAAAACTGACATAATGGTTGCAGTTTAAATACTTGAGCTGCCGTCTTCTGCGGCTGTCATTGCAGAGGACCTTGCTTCGCCTGTAAAGGATCCTTCGCCAGGCCATCGCCACTTTTCACGGAGCTGAAAAAGTGATTTATTGCGTTGCGTTATTTTCGCGACCAAGGTCTAAATTCCACAATACATATTCACGCTGTCATTGATAGCCTCTTCAGACACAGCAATGTCGTCGAGTTGCCTGCAATATAGAGAACTAGACTAGAGATAATATATCCAGAACTGTGTGCCATACCCGTTAGCCCAATGCCTAAACAGAAGATTGTTAATAGAGAGTTTGAGTTCTATGGTGTGAAATGACCTGAGAATCAGTATTTTTTACAATAGAGTAACTATTTACGAACATCAAATAGCTAGAGAAAGTATGTTAATATTATTTGATTGATCAGTATGAGTAGCATCGACTCAATCTTCGCTCAATAAGAAGAAACATAAAGGTAATAATTAACACTGCTTATAGGAAGAAGAGAGATCAGTCCAAATAAGGAAGGGACATGAAGTACTGCGTCTGCCGCACGTTCCTCCTTTATCTCTTCTGAATATTCTCTGAATGAGAGTATGAATGATCCCATGGTGAACAATACGCAAAGAGGTGGCGCACATACCTACACTAAAACCCAATTAAGAGAAAAATAAGCAGACATGTTGAAGCAATAAAAAAATTAACACACAGAATAAAGAGAAATTTTATGTAGATTACATCGGAGATAGTTCTATCTGGAATTGAGATTTAAATCCATCTAATATTCTCTACTATTAAAAAAATAACCTTAAAAAAAGTAATACAAAAATAATAAACATTCAAGAATCGTAATGTTTCGAAAACATCCCTTTCCCTCGCGTCCTGAAGCATTTTAAGACCCTTTCTAAAACGAATTTCCTAATTTAACGGAAACAAAGACAAAGCGTTTTTATCTTTTTTTTTCCTCTCTATAAACGTGTCGGTCCCCCCATCCACTTAGCCTTTTTTTTTTGAGTATCAACCCAAGCTTGCCTAGGGTCCCAATGAATGGGACCTCTTACAACCCACCTAATCATGCAATAAAACTGTGAAGGGGTCCCAAACTTGAGTGGGACAAACCGCGACACGTACAAAGTGAGAGCGTCGTAGAGCTATTCCTAAGGTTGTTGACTCCCATTTATATCCTGTTCTAGTTTCCAATCCCGAAAATTCCCCCAAGGGCCCCCTTCTTTTTCATTTTTTTTTTTTTTCAAGATGGCGAAAAAACCCATTTTGTATTTCCCTCTACATTTTCCAATTCCCAATCACAAGATGGAGTTCCATCATTCGTACCCTCCCCGTCGCTATCTTTTAATTAATATTGGCTTCATCAACTTCTGAATCCACACAAAGTGTAAACTTCTCACTGTTTCTGTCTTCTGCATAACATAAAGTCCTTCCCTTACAGCGCTTGCCCAAAAAACTGTCTCTCCTCCAGCCGTGTCCCGTGATCTCATTCTCATAAGTGTAAATTCTCCTTTTCTGTCTTCTCAACATCAAAGTCTTTCCTTACAGCCTTCCCAAACTTCTTCCAGCCGTTCCGGACTTCCATCTGCGGCTTTCCTCGGATCTTGCGCCGCCCGCAAAATCCTTCGCCGGCCATGTAACGATAAGTGTTATTCAGCTTCCTATTCTACTCCAAGTGCAGAATCTCATAATTTCACTGTTGATAGCGTCTTGGGACTTAGCAATGTCGAGTTCTTTATGAAGGTATGGTTTTAATATTTCTTTAACTAGAAAACTACTATGTACCAAATTGGGTCTCATCTACTTTGAAGTTGGTTTGTATAAATGAGAGTGGGAATGGTGATCATGTAGGTGTGAAATTGCTGCTCATTCCTTGGAACACTGTGTAGTATAGTGTTGCACTTGTTGTTTTTCTTATCATTTACCATTATTTTAATTTTAATTTTCAATAAAAAACAATTCAACAAAATAATTAATAAAACATAAATAAAAGTATACAAATAATTGAAAATTAGATAAATTATTTATTATAGTTTGATTCTACTATATTCATGTTCTTTTCTATAAAATTTAAATAAAAATGTTCATAAAAAACTCGAAAAAAAGATTTATAATAATTTACAAAAATTAATTTTATTATAGAATAAAAAAATTCACTCAACAATTAAATATAATAATAATAATAATTTCCTTAAAGAAAATAATGATTTTCTATTAAAAAAAAATGAACAATAGTAATTATAATAAACATAAAATTAAACTAACTCATGTGAGTGGCCAACAAGTTAAAAATTGAATACATAAAATGATAATTAGACTTAGATAATAATATGCATAAACACAATGTAAAATTTAGTGAATTTCGAAGTTGAATTACCATTCGTAAGGAATAATAGTGTAGATACATAGAATAATATTGACATTAAATTAAAATTAATACATCAAAGATCAATAAAAAATGAGTTGAGCAATAGGTGTTTGACTTATTCTTAATAGCGAAATTCTTAATAACGAAAATAAATAAAAAATTTGTATAAATAAGGTAATTATATATATAGTACGTAGTGATGTCCAATATATAATTTGTAATTAACATATGACAAAACTTCTACAATAAGACATAATTTAAAATTTTAATTAGTATAAAACATAGTGAGGTTATTGATGAGTGCTGACCATGATTGTGTTGAAACCAATTGCCTTCGTAAATTCCAAATAATTATTTATATTCATGGAACAGTTTAGTGATCCAGAAATGCAATTAATTAGATGCAGCTTTCTTTTTTCAGATAAATTCTGTAACAGTTGACTGAAGTTCCCCGTTTTGTTTTATCTAACAGGAGGGACTCAAGATCAGTGTTGGAGATTGTGATGTTTTCAAGCCACCCCAGGAGGACTCCCCACCTTTCGTTGGAATAATTCGATCGCTGATTGTCGGTGAAGTGCTCAAGTTGTGTGTGAATTGGTTATATCGACCTGCTGAACTGAAGCTTCGCAAAGGCATCCCTTTGGAAGCTGCACCAAATGAAGTATTCTATTCCTTTCATAAGGATGAGATTCTTGCTGCATCATTACTCCATCCGTGTAAAGTTTCATTTCTCCCAAAAGGTGTTGAACTTCCATCAAGGATTTGCTCTTTTGTGTGCCGGCGAGTTTACGACACTCGATACAAGTGTTTTTTCTGGCTAACTGACCAAGATTATATTAATGTACGTACGTACATGTTTTGCTTGCACTCCTTGCACATTAAATATATCATTTATACTCACACTTCTTGCATTTTGAGAAATTGATACTCCTTCTGTCTCAAAATATAAAACGTTTTTGAGTGATTATTTTGTTGTTTTGAATATTTTAAGAAGTAATAAATAATGTTTTTCCAATGTTATACTTATTTACATTAGATACAATAAATATTTTCACAACTAACTATAAATGATGATTTGGTCATATTACCCTTAGTTTTAATTATAATTTAGAAGAATTAATTTCTTTTTTAATTTTTCTGTAAAAACCTTAAACAGATGGAGTATTTCTTTTCCACAGGAACGTCAAGAAGAAGTAGATCAGCTATTATTCAAGACATGCATAGAAATGCATTCATCTGTGCAACTAGGAGGACATTTTCCTAAGCCAGTGAATGGTTCAACATCAACATCACAGCTAAAACTAGGGTCGGATGATGTACACAGCGGTGCCTCATCCTTTGCTTCTACTTAGATGACTGAGATTGTATTTCAAAACTAGCTACTCAAAGATATTTTGTATTAATTCTAGCCTAAAATCTAGCCGATTTAATATCTGGTTTGTGGTGTTTTAGATTTTATGGAATTATTTTTTGTAAAAGCTAGAGTTAGTACAATTAGGTATTGATTCTTTGAAAAAGATTTATTTTGTAACTATGAAATATGAATACAGAGAAAGATTCATTATCTTTCCTTTTTTCACTGTTATTTTTGTTCTTCTGTTGCTGTAATTTCTACCTTTCAGTAGTGGTATCAGAGCTGTAAATGGTCTTTGTGTGACCTGTGAGTGAGAGAAAATAAGTTAGAAATCTTTTCTCAAACAACCTTAAACACCATTGTGTAATTTATGGCTTTAAGTAATTACTCAGCCCTCCTCTACTTGCATTCTTAGGAGAAAATTATCCCATTTGGTCAATGAAAACCAAGGTTTATCTTCAAGCATTTGACCTGTAGAAAGTTGTTGAAACATGCAGAGAACCAACTCCTTTGGGATCAAAATTTATACCCCGCTAAAGTTCAAGTAAAATTTGGTAATTTAGTTGTATCAAATTAAACTTTGGGATCAAAATGAAAATAAATTGTAAGTTCAAAGTACCTAATTTAGAATTAGTTTTTTTGACAATTAGATTAAATTTACACATCGGGAATAGAAAAGTAAATGTATTAGTATTAGTTTTATCATAGTGTTGTCTATTTTGCAGCAGAGAAGCAATTCTTTGTTATATGTTCCACTATTATTACTGTTGGGCAAAGTTTTTTTTTTTTTTTTCATTATCCCTTATTTCAATCGATGATAAATATGCCATAAGGAAATTATATGACATAATAATAACAATAATAATTATTTTTCTCTATCTAATTTAATAATTAATTAATAATATTGAGTTTGATTTAAATTATAAGATGGAGTTTGCTGTGATCATAAGATGGAGTTTGATTTTGAATTTGAATAGCATCAAATGAGAAGGAAAAAAAAATTACAAAATTATAGTATTGTACCCTTATGGTATTATACGCTTACACTGTATAATTACTTGGAATTATCGACCCAAGTGCCCAAGCTATTATACTTATAATTTAATGAAGCATTAGCAAAACAAAAATAAAAATTATTCCTAAAAAAAAAATAAAATAAAAATAAACCACTGTTGTTGACCCATTTTCTGTTCCATCTCGATCGGTTTCAGATGGCGAAAAACCCGTTCGTATTTCCCTCTACGTTTTCCAATTCGCAATCATTGACACCATCGTCATCTTCTTCTCCGCCGCCATCTTTTAATTCGTATTCTTCATGTCCATCTTCTGATCCAAGTCTAAATTCTCCATTTCTGTCTTCTCATCAAAGTCTTCCCCCACCGCTTTCCCAAAATTCTTCAAGCCCTTTCGGCCTGCCTTCGGCCGCTGTCATCGGACCTTGCGCCGCCTGTAAAATCCTTCGCCAGCCATGCACCGATAAGTGTCATGTAGCTGCCTATTTTCCTCCAAGTGTTGAACCACATAATTTCAATGTCATTGATAGCCTCTTCGGACACAGCAATGTCGTCGAGTTCCTGCAGGTTTGCTTTTAATTCCTCTTTAATTAGAGAACCAATATATACCAAAACTGCCATAGTTTGAGCCCAATGCTAATCAGTTGCCATTGTTATGAATTTCGTAAAGTTTTGTATAATTGATTTAGGACTTTATATTTCTCGTTCGGTATGAATGATGAGAATGTTTATTTCACTCTCATAAATTTAGTTTTATGAAATTGAACAAATTACAAATTAAATTAAGCCTCAATGAAGTTCAAGTAATGCTTAGAAATTTACACATCAGGAGCAGAAAAGCAAAGTGTTAATATTAGTTTGATCACAGTGATGTTTATTTTGTAGCAAAATGGCAATTCTTCGTCATATGTTCCGCTATTATTGTTGTTGAAAAACATAAGTAAAGATGGAAATCAACGCCAAGCAAATCCCAGTAAGAACAGCAATGATGTTCGATATGGAAGTAACATTAATATTAATGGCCAGCTCATGCTTGGCGTTTCTGATAACTTGAAGGCTCATTCATATAGTAGTTCTTCAAAGCCTCTAATGATGTTTGCAATTAATAATCTAGGCACTATTACATCTCCAGCGAATCAGTTAAGGGGTAACAATGATCTTGATATGCCGGCTGATATGGAGGATGAATCTCTCAACAGTAATGTTGATCCAAGCGGTAAAGATGATGTTGATTCAAAGATGGATGATGGGGATTCTGTTGACTCTGGACCTGAAAGCGTTTGGAAGTCTGAGATTGCTAAATTTACAGAAAAAGGAGGGCTTGTAGATTCTGAAGGTGTTGAAAAATTACTGCAGCTCATGAAGCCTGAGAAAAATGGAAAAAAGATAGACTTGGTTGGCCGATCTGTACTGGCTGGTGTGGTAGCAGCAACAGATAAGTTTGATTGCCTTGGTAGATTTGTGCAGCTTAGGGGCGTGCTTGTATTTGATGAATGGTTGCAGGATGTGCTTAAAGGGAATATTGCAGATGGTAGAGGTTCCAAGGATAGTGCAAAATCTATTGAGGAATTTCTTGACGTTGTATTTCGTGCATTGGACAAACTCCCCATAGATCTTAACGCCTTACGAATGTGTACCATCGGTAAATCAGTGAACCGTCTGCGGACACATAAGAAGTTAGAAATTCAAAAGAAAGCTAGAACTTTAGTTGACAAATGGAAGAAACGTGTTGAGGCTGAAATTGATAGAGACCATGGTTTTAACCTTCCAGTCACTTGGCCAAGAAGAACACAACTTACACGACTTGCACGACTTCCACCCAAGTAAGGATTATCTAATTTGCTTTGGCAATGCAGATGCTTGAAATACATTTCTGGAGTATTAAGATTGGTAGTTGTTTAAGAGTATTCAAGGGCGGTTCGACCAAAATAAGCTTTCAGTCGGGTTAAGGGAGGTGACAATGTTGGTGACAATGTTGTATATATATTTGATGTTGAGGCACAGGCTCGCCTGCATGCATTTCAGGTACGTAATAAACCAATTGACTCTGTGCTGGGATCCTTTTTCAGAGTATCTAGTGTCTGTCAGTGAGGACTCTTTTAGACTCTGGAGTCTGCAATCTGGGAGTGAGGGGAATGTCTTCACTCTTCGCGTCTCGAGTTGTGTTGGCAACAAATTGCGTCCCTGTGTTTTCCATTCTACATACCCTTCACTGGTAGTGAAGGTTACGAATAATTCTTTTGTTATTGAAGGATCGACGAACTTTTTATTAATTATAATAGTAAGTTTTATGTTTAGTATGATACTTAATTTTATTATTAATGAATTATATTTTTCAAAAAAAATTTCAAAAAAAAAAAAAAGCTGCAATCGAAACTTTGAGCAAATTGGAATTCTAGAAGAAACAGGCGCTCTATGCGAATTAATTCATTTTATTAATTATAATAGTAAGTTTTATGTTTAGTATGATACTTAATTTTATTATTAATGAATTATATTTTTCAAAAAAAAAAAAAAATCAATCAAACTTGAGCAAATTGGAATTCTAAAGAAACAAGGCGCTCTATCGAATTAATTAAAAAATTATTTACTTGCCTCTAAAAAAGAAAAATAAACATAAAGAAAAAAAAGCATATTATTGTTGTATTTAATTAACAAGTATCATACTTTTTCTTTATTAAAATTTTAATTACAAGCTAATCTAGAAATTACTCATCAATTACTTCATTTTCAATTAATTAATTACATCAAGGGGTACCATGCCTCTAAAAAGAAAGAAATATAGACATAAACAAAAAAGAAGTATTATTACTTTATTTAATGTCATACATCATTCTTGTATATTTTAATCTATACTAATACTTAAAAATTGACTCGTAAATATCCATGACCATCACATTTTTTTATTAAAAAAAGTGGCGGAAAGTAAAATAATTCTTAAATAAATTCAATGAAATTTCGTTTATTCCAAATTAATTAGGAGTTATTCTTGTACTTCTTATTCCTAGCAATTTTTTGAATGCTTTGCCAATATGTTTTTTAGCCGCATTCCATATGTTGTTTGTGGAAGCAGTGTTTGCTGAACCATTCTCCATCCTTTGGATTCTCCACCTCCATTGTAGATCTAGCTCACTCAAACCTCCTTCCATGGCTTCAACACTTGAGGGATTGTTCCTTTAAAATATCAAAAAGATTGCTCTATTTTACTGTGATCTTTTTTCTGGGATAGGTGTACTTATAAAACCTTTTTATAGAATTTTAGGACAACTCAAATAATTAAGAACATTAATATTTTTAAATCTTAAATTAAATAAGAAGATTAGCACAACTTAATTAGACAATCTTATAATCTGGAAAAAATCATGTAATTTTATAAGCAAATCAATGAACATAAATAAATGAATTAAAGCGTGAATAATGGTTTTTATTACATGATTTTATTGCCATCATTAAATAATTCTATATTTCATAGCCTATAATATATAACCATATATGGTCATGTAAAATCCTATATTAGTTACTCATTTTTAGATATGCTAACTATTTCTTGGAAAACTTTATTTGAACATTAGCAATTACATAATCATGATGGATGTCAAGAATTTTTTTTTACATTAAAAGAATCCATTAATTTTTACTATTTTGACCTTTCTTGAGGGTTAAATAAAAAGAGATCGACATCTATGATTATATTCTAATATTTTCTATATTTAACATAAATAGGGCTTTGAATGTTTATCTTTTAGGTACATTCTTTTATAGAAATGCATACCTTGTTATACCCCCATATAAAGTAACATATTGGACATTTTATGGATGATAAATTATATAACTCAACGATGTCAAAATATATAAATTAAAAAAAATCTAACAAAACTCCCAGGAGATGAGATAAGGATAAGATGGCAAGAGTTATCACATACATAATTCCTACTCTATACCTTGGATTCATGCAAATGCCTCATTCATATGGATAAGGCAAATCTCCGATCCACATAAGAATTATGATTCATTCCATGGACATTGACGTGTTTAAACTTGGATAACCCCCAAGAATTAAATCCAGGATCATAAAAAATTTGTCTAGCGTGGTTTCCATTAAGCTAACCCTCTTGGGATAGACTTTAGTTCACTTGATCACTAAACCAAAGTCTTCTAATTGGACTCCATTTAAAATCCTAGATAGCAACATATTGTTAGGAGTCATAGAGCTGTAATCCCTAACTCACTGTTTGTGTGCCAAGAAATAGAGAGAAAACTATATCAACTGTCCCAAATCTGAAGTAGTCCTAAAGATTATACACAACTGAAATTTGCCAAACCACAAATTCTTTGGTCTTAACAAAAATATCTTAGTCCTGTCAAGACAAAAAACAAAAACAAAAACAAAAATATCTTAGTCTTTCATTGCACTGTGTTTCTTTCGCCTACAAACACTGTATAAGGAACAGATTGGACCAATAATGTCACTAAACATGAATCTAAATAAAGCCAAACTCTCCCTTTCACTTGCTTTCTTCTTTTTCTTTTTCATAAGGCAAAGTAGGACCATTTTATGAACAATTTGACACAATATGGCATTTCTATGGTCCCAAATTTTTGGATAACCACTAACAAATTCAATACTCCTTTCCCTTATCCTCTCTAACAAAATTAGATGCTTGCTTTTATCTGGTTGGAATATTTGTAACACATATACCAATTATCAAGCTTAAAAATTCAAGTGTTGCTTCTTTTGCTCTCTTCAAAAACTCACCTAGACATTTTATCAAACAGGTAAAGAACATGGAGAAATCTGTGTACCACCGGCACCAACATCGCCTATTCTTGGACAAGGAGATAGGTATGGCTCCCAATAACCATGGAGACAAAACAAGTAGTAATTACTATGCAAGCAAGTCAACAAATTTCGATAACAACATGGTTATAATATTAGCAGCTTTGTTATGCGCATTAATATTTGCTCTTGGTCTAAACTCAATTGTACGGTGTGCTGTGAGATGTGGGTATAGATTTGTGTCTGAGACTACTCCAACAGCTACAGCTGAAGCTACTGGACTGAAGAAAAGCACATTGAAGCAGATTCCGGTGGTAGCATATGAATCAGAGCTAAATACTCCGGTAACAGAATGTCCCATTTGTCTCGGAGAATTTGAACAAGGTGAAAAGGTTAAAATTTTGCCAAAATGTAACCATGGTTTTCATGTGAAATGTGTAGATAAATGGTTATTGTTACACTCATCGTGTCCGCTGTGCCGGCAACCATTACTGGATCAAGTCTAATATTAGTGTACAATTTTGTTCTAATTAGCAATATAAATACTCTTGCCGTTTGATTCGAGAATTTTATTTTTCATGTCGTTTACAGTGAAGCGGAAAAAAATTTGTGTGTTCGAAGAAACAGAATATATTTTCATAGTGAGCAAATACAATGGTTGAAAAAAGGGTTTTAAAACATTTGTGCTCAAAAAATGTAACCATGGTTATAACAATAGGGTGAAATGATTGTTAGAGTAAAATGGATTTTATTTGTTTACACACATGAACTTCAATTCGTGTCCGCTGTGCCGGCAACCAATTAAAACTTGGATCAAGTCCAATACATATTTAGGAGAGTAATTTTTATAGAGTAATTTATGTTTCTAAAATATAAGACTATATATTAATACTCTTGCCGAGTTTTGATTCGAGAATTTTATTTTTCATGGTCGTTTATCTCACACAGTGAAAAGCGGATAAAAATTTGTGTGTTTCGAAGAATACAGAATATATTTATTCAATAAGTGAGCCAAAGTCAGACGAATTTAAGTTTGATTACATATATATTATTAAAATACTTCAATAATAAGCCATTAATAATTTCAATTTGATTATAGTTTCACACTATTAATCAAATTTAATATGTTGCTTATTTTATTTATTATTTTATTTATTATTATTTATTATTATTATGATATAAGATTATGAAGTAAAAATTTGTTTTTTATTTTATTTATTTTATTTTATTATTATTATTATTAGTAAAATTTATTTTATTATTATTATTATTATTATTATCAAATATAAAATTATCAAGTAAAATTTCTTAATAATATAATGTATCATGATGTTCTTATTTAGTCAAATATGTAAAAAGATAAAATTAAAATTATTCGAAAATTCTATGAAATATAAAGCACAATTTAATGGTTTTATTTGAATCTTACTTGGTCTAAGTAAATTTTGTATAATTTTTTTATAAATTTACATTTTTTACATTTAATATAAACAAAAGTTCATTATAATTCAGGTTTTTGATTTTATAAAATTGATTACATTTGAAACATTTTTTTGAAATTAATAAAATTATAAATAAATTTTAAACTTAATAAAGCCATACAAATTATTAAAATTAATTTTAAATATAATTATCTAAACTCTGATAGATTTAATTATTATTCAACTTAAAATTTGTAACCATTTTTTGCATTAAAAAATTCTTTTGAGTTAAGAAAGACTTATCTTATAACTAATAATATTATTAAATAACTAATATTTGAACTTACCAACTTATTGATCTTTTATAATTCACGTTAAAAAAAACTAATGGATATGTTTAGTAAAATGATTAGGATTATTAAAAATAACCTAATAATTTGAAACTTACCTGCAGAACTTAATTGAATTCTATTCTCTTATATAATTGTACTCACACGATTGTAGAAAAAAAAAAAAAATATTTGGAAATTAATTATAATCTTTTAATATTTTCATTAAGATAATGTATTTACTACTTAATGAATCATTCGATTTCACTTATGAACGATAACTATTAAATTTATACCAACTTATTGTAAAAGAGATTATGAAATAGAAAATGCATATTTTAAGTATCAAAAAATTTAATATAAAAATTGAACATATATTAACTATAGTGAGTTAAATGTCGATAATGGATTTATTAATTACTATAAGTTGAATCAATTATTTGAATTCTAATATAAATTTTAAGAAGTTTATTTACTTTATAAATATTAATCACTCGAAATATATTACAATAACACTAGTAACGATAACTAGCTGTAGAGAGAATATATTTTTTGTTAAAAATCATATGTTTACTATTAGTAAAATAGCTTACCAAAGATTTTTAAAAATCATGTTTCTATTAGTAAAATGCTTACAAGATTTCTTGTAGATTTCAAAGTTTTTTTTTTAATCAGTAAAAAGGTCAGCTCATATTATTAATATCTAAAATTGAGAAATCATATAGAAGAAAAAGAATATTGGTATATTCAAATATTGGTTTTTTTTATAATACTATCAATTATGATATAGATCTTTTTTCTTTTTAAATCTATGAGACATGAATTTTCTAACTCAAAATAATCTTTAAACGGAAAAAATGCTTTCAAATCTTATGTAAAACCATATTTTACATGTACGCAACATAAATTTTTTTAAACAAAAATTAAAAATCATATAAAATCATAATATATAATCATTGAATTTCATAAAATCAAATATCCATACCATCATACATATTGTTTTCTATTTATGTCTAATTTTACTACTAAAAGTAAAATCTTTCATGTCTAGAATGACCAAGAATTTTTTTTTTTTTATTCAATTATAATTATAACAAAAGCGGATGAAGTCTTGGTCTAATAGCCAAGACAAAATTCCTTTATCTCTTGGTTTGAAACTCACTTCAACATCATTCCCTTCAATTTATAATTTCATTTAAAAATATTAAATTTCTTACATAAATAATAGAAAAATATTGCAATCTAATATAAAAAATCAAACTTCTAATTAAAGAGTATTAAATTTCTTTAATAAAATAATAGATAAACATTACAATTAAATATGGACAAACCAACTTGTATTTCGCAACTCTTAATAAGAATTAGCAATATCATTTAATAATCTTTTTGCAAAATGCAAAGATAGAACAAATCTGGCTCGTATATTTCTTTGACAATAACTTTCTTTTGAAAAATATTTGCATAAATTATTTTCTATTGTTTGATTAAAGTATTAATAATTAGTTAAGATATTAAAGATTATTATTTAAATAGCAAAAAAAAATTAACTAGCAATACTAAAGTAAAAAGTTCTCAATACATGAAAAAAATTTATTTGACACAACAAATAAAACATGTGGTGATTTAACAAAATTTCAGCAAATAAAGAAAGAAAAAATGAAAAAAAATGAAGACAACAAAGAATATTTTCTAATAAGAAAAAATAAAAAATGCTTTAATCAAATTATATGAGAATAGTATGCATATTTCGATTTGCACTTAATTATTTTATTCTATAAAAATCAATAACACTTATTAGGAGTTTTACTATATTCTTACGTAGATAAGAACCAATAACAGTAATAAATTTTCATAATAAAAAATATTAACATTCTTCTCTTTTCTTTTCTAAAATCAGCATACACATAAATTTTCAATTATGGCAGATCAAAATCCAAATCAAAACCTACCTGCAACTCCAATTCAAAACCAATAAACACGTTATCCAAATTTTTCAATAATATAAAATATAAACATTCTTTCTTCTTTTTCTTTCTAAAATCTAGTCTCAATCATCGCTATCATAAAATTTTCATTATGGCAGATCAAAATCAAAGTCAAAACCTTTTAACCAATGCAATCTCCCAAAATACAAAACAGTGCCTTCACAACACAAGGTGCTACAACTTCACCATACACTCACAAGGTGCTACAACTTCTACCCCTCCGGCCAAGCGTGGAGCACTAGAAAAAATTGAGACAAATGTCTACATCGGAAGCGAGAATAGAATGCAAAAGATCACGTCTGATTTTTCTGATTGCGTCTGGTGATTAAAGGCTCAAAACATCTTATGAACCAATTTAATGATGTATAAGCAAACAACTCTGCTGATGCTCTTGCTAGAGCCTAGAAGAGCTTGTGCGTATCCTCGTTCTCAAATTTGAAATTTAACTCCTGGTAGTATTAATACTCTTGTTAAGTTATGAAAGAAGAAGACGTGAATGTAGTTTTATTTCAGTAGATGATCATATGTCATGTAATAATAATAATAATTATAGTTCTCCCTCTAATATAATAATATTAATAATATCTAACTCTTTATTTTTTAATTATCCTTAATAAAAATCTAACTCTTTATTTTTTAATTATCCCAAGCATAACTTCCAATTTAAGAACGGAAAGAAATCCATTTGCACGCTGGATATGAATTGAGGCGAGGGGCGGCAGCCATACACCTTGAATTGGGAGGACTGGCTTCCATCATGGTGGACTTGAGTAGCTTTTGCGCACCTTGAATTTGAACTGGAAGGACAACATGATAAAGCAGGTGCAGGTGGTCGATGAGGGAACTCATCAATAATGAACATGGAGCTTGATTTGTATTTTGATCAGAAACTTTATGATAGAGGCTTAGGAGAAAAAAAATCATGTAATCACTGGAACTTCCATTTGGACTTTTGATCTTGATTTGCCGAGAGGTAGTTCTCCCTCTAATATAATAATATTAATAATATCTAACTCTTTATTTTTTAATTATCCCAAGCATAACTTCCATTAGAACGGAAAGGAAATCCATTTGCACGCTGGATATGATTGAGGCGAGGGGCGGCAGCCATACCACCTTGAATTGGAGGAACTTGGCTTCCATTATGGTGGACTTGAGTAGCTTTTGCGGCACCTTGAATTTGAACTGGAGGAGCAACATGATAAGCAGGTGCAGGTGGTCGATGAGGGAACTCCATAAAATAATGAAATGGAGCTTGATTTGTATTTTGATTCAGAACTTTACTGATAGTAGGACCTTCAGGAGCAAAAAAATCATAATATGGAATTCCATTTGGACTTTGATCTTGATTTGCCACGGTTGAAAAAGTTATACTCTTACCAGAGAGAGGTTAATATTTCTAGCTATGAAAAGAGAAAGAGATTAATATAACTAGCTAGCTATGATATTATTATTCGATGTCAAAAGCCTTTTATATATAGAAAAATGATACTATACGGGAAATCATGTATGAACATATAAATATTAAATAGGAATGTGTCAACTATATTTTCTCAAGCCATGAAAGAGTACAATATTCTAAATATATATACAATAATATCTATATAGGAATGTATTAAAACCCTAATTACTATTGTATTGATTCTTATTCTATATAGGAATATGTTAAAACCCTAATTAGTGTTATTGGTTCTTATACAATAAAATTAAACATGTATATGCATATTATCCTGTGATTTGATTAAAGCATTTCTTGTTTTTTCTTTTTTTCTTATGAGAAAAACCTTTTTTTATTTTTTTTCCTTTATTATCTGAAATTTGGTAAAACAATTGAGTTCTTATTATCATTTTTATAATTTAACATTGTAATTATATAAAAATTAAATTGATAAAGAGGACAGAGCTTGTTATAATAAGAAAATAAAACTTGTCTTATTTTTCTTGAAAAAACCAAAGAAAAAAAGAAAGGAAAATGAAACGTGGACGATGTCGTTTACCCTCCTCGTCCCTGTCATTGTTAACTCACAAAAGGAAACAAAAACAAATTCAACCAACGTATTCTCAGATTCCACTGATTGCCGTTGACCGACTCCTGTTTCTCTCTTTAATTTTAATTTATTTTATGTTTTTGTCACCATGACTGCTCTTAGTCATATTCCTCTCTTCCTTAGCTGTCAACGTACCAAACTCCAAAATTCATTTGATCAGTATTTCAATCATCGATCCAAGCATCCAAATTCCCATCTGGGTTTTACTCTCTACCTCAGAATCTTAAATGGGTCGAAGGCAAAACGACCCAGAATCCTCCCGGTTAACCTATCTCATCCTTCTTCTGATGGGTTTTATCTCCTGTGCTTTGGCCTACACAGTCCTCTCCTTAGTCCTAAATCCCAATGTTGGTTTTACGAATTCAGGCTCTCAGTCTTTGGCATTTATAAAGGAGAGTTCAGAGGGTAATGATGGTGATTGTCCTAAATCCCAATGTTGGTTTTACGAATTCAGGCTCTCAGTCTTTGGCATTTATAAAGGAGAGTTCAGAGGGTAATGATGGTGATTGCTGTAGAGGGATTGAGAATTTGGAGCTATGGGGGCCTGCAGTGAAGTGGGGTTCAGAGTTTAAGTTTAATTCTTCCAAGGAGTGTTGCCAGGCGTGTAAGGCTATGTGCAATGGCAATGATGGACCTTGCTTGTGTGATACTTGGGTTTTTTGTGGGAATAAAAAGACTTGTGGATCAAAATTCGGTGAGGTTAGATTGAATTTGATGCCTTGCTTTCTTGACTTTTAATTACTGATTGAATTTTGTTGTCGTGGTTTGCTACTTTTGGATTGCATTTGGTTGCAGTCATGTGATTTTAATTGTAAGTACTTATTTCTTGTGCTAGTACTCTATTTTGAGCTTTACTTACAAGTATAATTACGAATGACTTTTATGAATTTTCACTTTACAGATAATTTAACATAACATGAAATACAAGGTCTTGGTGTTGCTCATTTATAAGTTGTATGCCTTCTCTTCAGTATAAAAGTTATTTGTGAAACATCTCAATCATAATGATAGAAATAATTTTGTCCAGTATAGTTCTAATGAGGCCCTTATATTAATTGGATTAACCGGAAATATTATTATGTCCAGTGCTAATATGTCCTATAGAATTGTTTTCTATAAGTCTTTAACTTGACTTGCTGCATTTCTCCAGTGTTGGTTGAAGAAACAGAAGGATACATTGACCCCTGATCGGCAGGAAGCTGGTGACAAAGTTAGTTGGACTTCGGGACTCATTTTCGGAAAAGGAGAGGTATATAATTTTGGTTAAAATTTTTTGATTCTGTTTTCATTTTGCGACGCAGAATATATGGTTCAAAACACTCTTAAAATTGCGATTCACACTTCCAACTGGCATTCTTATCTGTCTTCACTTTTTAGGGCATAAGTAATTAAACAAAACATTAAGAAAAATGAAAGGTCAAGGGAAGGAGCATGATGAGTATCCTTACTGCTGCAAATAGTCCAAAGATTTCCCTTTTCTTTTTTCTTTCCTTTTCTTTTGCTTGACGTTAGTTTTTGTTTTATCTTTAGTGGTACTTCAAAGTATAGATTAGCTTAGCAGTAAATGTTTGAAATTCCTTTCTCACAATCATGTGAAAGGCGAAAGACGAAAAGCTCAGTTATTGCTAATAGAGATATTGTTATCTGTAGTGTGTGACAACTGAATGCTTTGCAGTTAGCAGTCTATGTTTGGCCTTTTAATCTATTTAGTATTGGGAAATCACTGATTTACTAGGCCCCCCAGGAAACCTGATAAGAAAGCTTCTATTGGTGTTATGATAGATGCAGGTCTTTTATGCTCATGGAGTTCTTCTTACAAAATATATAATTCTGGATCTGTTTCTTTCTTGTTTTCTTTTTCTATTTTGTTTCAACTTGAAATGCATCTTGTCATATCCTCTCTATGAAAAATTACGTGTCAATTGTATACTGTTCCTTCACTTTTTTCTCTGTTCTAAACAAGTGTCTTCATTATTTTTGCGATATTAAATTTACAATATGTTGACATTCTTCCTTTTATTTGCTACTTTCAGGGCATTGTTGGCTTGGAAACAGAGTATGGTACTCTGCATATAAAGGTAAGAGTTCATGCTTTTGGCTGCTCTATATTTGAATATATCTTTGACAGGAGGATTATACGGAACTCTACTTGTGTATCGAGTCAGCAAGGTTCAGTCCTTTTAGTAATTGATTATTCTAGACTGCATTTGGAAGTTACTTTAACAATTAAAGTACATTGGTTGGTGATGGATTATAATGAGCATTGTTTACACAACCTCAGAGCATATACAACTGAGCATATGCCAAGTTGCATCCCAAGCCTTGGTTCTATACTTCTCTTTCATAACAAGTGAACATAATTATTAAATTATGCGTTAGATAGAGAGGGGAAGAGGAGGGGCGAGGGAGTGTGAACTGGAGAATTGGTGATACTATAACTTAATTTTATTTGAACATGCGAACCAACTCCTGAGATATTTAAGTTGAGGAAGTCGTGTGCCATTCCATCCCTTATCTGGTATCTGGAATTATTTGATTTCAAAGTTGTTGTGGGTTGAGAAGAGATAATGTATTATGTCAGCAATTGTTGTGCCGAGGTACACTATTGCCATGAAAGACTGTGCTTGAATTCTTACCACCGAATGGGTGATTATTGCTTTGAGATATAACTTACATGAATAAACATATAGGATTATGATTATTACATGTACTGATCACTTTACAGGACAATGTTCATTTTTTATGTCTGAAGTAATTTTATTGAAAAGTTCTTTTCTGGATTCATAGGTTTGATCTGCTTCTTTAATTTATTTTTAACAATTTCTGTCCCTGGGTAAAAACTTGGCTTGGTGCAGCTGTTCCCTGACTGCGCTCCACATTCTGTAGCTTACATCCTTGAGTTGTTGGCATTGCGCCATTGTGCTGGATGTGAATTTTTCCGTGCTGAAAGCCGAGGCCAGCTTTGGGATTTGGAAGGAAACCACATAGAAAATGTGAGGGTTCATCAAATTGGTTTTTTGTGTTTTTCCTGTGTCTGCTATATTTTATATGGGCATATATATGTAGCTCACATCCTTGAGTTGTTGGCATTGCGCCCATTGTGCTGGATGTGAATTTTTTCCGTCTGAAAGCCGAAGCCCCAAGCTTTTTTGGGATTGCGATAGTGAAACCACATAGAAATGTGAGCGGTTCATCAAATGGTTTTTTGTGTTTTTTCCTGTGTCTGCGTATATTCTTATATGGGCAATATATACTAATATATACTTACTATATCACTATATAAAATCTAGGTAATATATATAAAATCTAGGTATTTGTTTGGCATTACTTGAGGCATAAAATTTGGATTGGGAGTCCATTTAGCAGTGTCATTAAAATGCCTTCTGCAAACTGTTTATGCAGTGTCCAAGGCGTAGCAAATCATCGTCTGGGACAAGCTTTTCTCAAACCATAGTTTACCGAAAGCAATACCAAATTTCAAAAAAACAAAAAATAGTCAAAATGCAAATTTAGAAAAGGAAGTTTGGAGCTCGATTCCAAATGGCCTAAACAGATGTTTGCAAATTAATTTTTCATCTATTTAAAATTTCTGTTGCATAACTTGATGCTTGCCCTTGGTATTCAATAACTTTCTAGTTTTTCTAACTTGTGTCGGTTTTCTTGTAAAATTTTCAGGCTTCTTTTGGCCCTCCTTTTGCTTTAATTCAAGGAACATTGGAAGCTCAAGGAACAACATTCAAGAAAATCCCAACCGAAGCTTGCCCAACTATAAAAAGGGGTTCAGTTGCTTGGGTTGGTTCTAGCTCTGAATTCTTAATTAGCCTAGCCAACCACCAAGAATGGAAAAATGCATACACAGTCTTTGGTTCTGTTCTTCCAGAAGACATGAAAATTGCTGAGAAAATTGCCAACCTCCCAACCAAATCAGATGTTTGGAACAATATTAACGTGTCTGTCTTGGAAAATCCTGTTCCCTTAATGTTCCGGAGAATAAAGTCTAAGTAATGGAGAACTTAATACGAATGCCAAATCAGAATGAAAAGGTCCGATTATTCTGAAGAATCGATATTTAGTGGCGAGGGACTTTATACTAGTGTGAAATGATGGTGAAAAAGACTATAACTGCAGATTTTCCCTTTTATTTGGTGTTTTTTTCGGTTTTGCTGGTTTTCTCCAACTGTACATTATTAAATATTGGTTGATCTTGTCTCCACTCTGTATACAAGATATGCTCCATAAGCATTACTCTGTGTTCTTTGAACCATGACATGTTGAATTCAAACGTATCTGCTGACGCCATATATATATATATATATATTGAATTCAAACGTATCTGCTGACGCCCATATATATATATTTATATTATATATGAGTATACTATTATCTATTAACCAAGGAGGTGTAATCTATATCCCTCGGGCGCATTTAAAGTCTATCAGAAAGTGCATTTTTCTGGAAAAATATAGACTTGATGTGATCCTATTGACGGAATTAAGTTTCGCTTTAAATCTATATATATATATATATATATATTAATAACCAGAGGTGTAATCTTCCTCGGCGCTTAAAGCTATCAGCAAAGTGCATTTTTCTGAAATATAACTTGTATTTTGATCCTTACGGAATTATTCGCTTATTATCTCAATTAATAAATTGTTGGTTCGACCTAGTTTTTGTTGGATGATTGAACTAGAAGTTACAATAATGCTATAAAGTAATTTATGTAATAAAATAAAATATAAATAATAAACAATAAAGTAAAAATTCATTTGATTTATGTAATAGTAAACATAGCCTTACGATGGTATTATGTTATGTCTTACGAAATCAAAAGAGTGGGTTGCAGGTCGTGGTCCTCGAACGACCGCGTGTGAATCAAATGACACGTCGCAGGACTAACATATGGTCCACATGCAAGTAAATTGTTATTTGAATTGTCGTTAATACATCTACTCAGTACTTATAGCTACGTCGTTTGAGAGTTGAACTCTTGAAACTACCCCATCCTTATAACCTCTTCACCACTGTCGTCGTACGTTCTTCTTCCCGCCACGCTGCGAAACCCTCACTCGCCATGGTTCAATTTCACGAGCACATAATCACAGACCTTTTAGAGGATCCTACCGGCGGACTTGTAATTCTCTCCTCTGGTCTTTCCCTCTCCAAACTCCTTTCCTCTGTTCTCCTCCTCCACCATCCTTCTCAAGGTACTCTCCTCATTCTCTCCCCTTCCCCTTCTCTCAAATCCCAAATCCTCCACCACCTCAAAAGCCACCAAAATTACTCTCCGGAGAACCACCAAATCGTCGAAATCACGGCCGATCTTCCCGCTCACTGCCGTCTCTCACTCTACTCTTCTGGTCAAATTTGTTTCGTTACTGCTAGAATCCTCATTGTCGACCTTCTCACTAATAGAATACCTGTCACTAGCCTATCAGGATTGGTTCTTCTCAATGTTCATGCTCTCTCCGAAACTTCAACGGAAGCTTTCATTGCACGGATTATTAAAACCCTAAGTCAGTCTGTTTACATTCGTGCCTTCACTGACAAGCCTCATGCTATGGTGGCTGGGTTTGCAAAGACGGAAAGGATAATGAAGTCTCTTTATATAAAAAAATTGCATCTTTGGCCGAGGTTTCAGGTTTATGTATCGGAGGAGCTGGAGAGGATGGCGCCGGAGGTGATTGACGTGAGAGTGCCGATGACAAAGTATATGATGGGGATACAGAAGGCAATTATTGAGGTTATGGATGCGTGTTTGAAGGAGATGAGGAAGACTAACAAGGTTGATGTTGAGGATTTGACAGTGGAGAATGGGTTGTTCAAGTCTTTTGACGAGATTGTGAGGAGGCAATTGGATCCTATTTGGCATATCTTGGGGAAGAAGACTAAGCAGCTGGTATCAGATTTGAAGACCTTGAGAAAGTTGCTGGATTATCTTGTTAGGTAATGTGCGACTGTGTATACTTAATTGTTTGGTGAAGAGATTTTTTTCGCGAACTACGTTAATGATGAGTTTAGTGGTTGATTACAGACAGAAATTCTGTGAAAAAAAAAAATGATTGATTCAATTATATCTTTAGCTGAAGAATGTTTTGTTTGTTGCTAAATGGCTCTTTTTCTTTTAAATTGCAGAGTTTGAGTAGATTAATTGAAATAAAAAATAGTGTAGAAACTCATTTGTTTCCAATTCTGGGCTAATCATAGTTTTCATGATATGTTATGTTTGAAAATTTTGAAGGAAAGACTGTACTAATTTTTTTCATTGATATTTATCTAATGATTTTCCTCTAGTTATGAATTTTATATTGATTTCTATATGCTATTTGGGTAGGTATGATGCAGTAAGTTATTTGAAATATTTGGATACACTTAGAGTGTCGGAGAGTTTTCGCTCTGTTTGGATATTTGCAGAGTCCAGCTTTAAGATATTTGACTATGCAAAGAAGCGTGTCTATCATTTGGCAAGATCAAATAATTCAAAAATTAATGGGTTGAGTAAGAGCACTACTGGCAAAAAACGAAAATTGAAGAGGGGTGATGATAATGAGGAAGCCGGTGAGGGTATATTATTTGTTTTCTGACTTGACTAGCTCTTCTGTGACATTACATCTAATTTTTCTTGTTTACTTGCTCATCCAGTAGTTGATGATACTTTATCTACCAGCACAAATAGTGGAGTTATATTGGAGGAGGTTTTGGAGGCAGCACCAAAATGGAAGGTGTTACGTGTGAGTGAGTGAGTTCCATTTTCTATGTTATCTAATGGTGAAAATCTAATCTTTACCTTGTATTTGTAAGCAACTGGTCAGTATTGATTGAACCTCACCTTTTAACTTATCGTTTTGTTTTCTGGTTCTATAAGTGATTTCAATGCTTATGTTAAAAAAAAAAAAAGAGATATTCTTCGGGGAATGGACTTCTAGCCTTAGTTTAGATGTCATAAATTTGTTATAGGAAATTCTTGAAGAGATAGAGGAAGAAAGACAAAAGCCAGCATTATCGAGAGAAGACGATCTGGTTGAAAGTGGAGGTGTTGACAGTGGCATTGTGCTAGTGGCATGCAAAGATGAACGGTCATGCATGCAGCTTGAAGATTGCATCATGAATGGCCCCCAGAAGGTTTTCTATTCTCCTTTTCTGATTATTTTCTCAATTTCCTTCCACGTTTTCTTCTCTGCAAGGTACATTATGCTTCCTACTTTACTCTTTTTAGTGTTCATGCTTCTCAGTTTTTCTTCAAGGCTAGAGCATGAGCTAGTGTCCAGTTAATACCATTATTTCTGGCCTGACTAATTCTTGGCAGCTCTTATGATTGCACATTACTTTCTATTTTAGAAGCGTTCTATTGATTTGGCATCTTGCAGAGATACAGGCAGTTTTTATTTATGGTCCAAAACTTAGGTTATGAAATGGATGACAACTCTCCCTTGTCACTTGTGAAGTTGGACTCTCATACAGAGTCTTCTGAATGATGAGATACTATCAGCAAGCTAAAGCTAGCAAGTATCTTCAACTTCAAAGATATAATAGAAATTTTCTGCTTTAGTTTAGTGAAAGTCTAATTTAGATTAGTTATTCCAAATTATTATGCAACATGGTAAAATATTATATGTAACCAATTCATGCGTGCTGTCTCATGAAGGTTTTGCGAGAAGAATGGGAGAAGTATTTGTTGAGCAAAGTAGAATTGCGTGGTTTGCAAATACCTCAGAAAAGAAAACCTAAGCCAAGGGAATCGAAGGGATTTGGCATTCTTGATGGAGTTGTTCCTGTAACTGCTGTTCAGAATGCAGAGTCTAGCAGCACAAACAAACAGGAACATGATGCTCTCCTAGCAGCAGCATCAGAAATAAGAAATCAGCATAGAAAGGTTGCCGTTACTGAAGATGGACCACAGGTTCTTGTCAACAGCACAAGTCAAAGAGGAAGGGGAAAAGGATGTAATAAAAGAGGCCGAGCTACTACTAGAAATTCTAGAAATAAAGATGACGGTGTCAATAATAAAGTGGCCACAAGTGATAAACCTGAAATATCTAGTTCAGAGCATGAAGACCAATCAGCTAATAATGATCAACCTATTGAAGGCAGTTATCAGGAAGGAAACTCAAAAGATGCATATACAGAAGAGGGGTTTCTTCGGCGGCATGCTCATCAGTCTGATTCTTCACGTAGCAAAGGAAAGCAAATACCTCCAGTTCACTTTTATGCTCAAGAAAGTGATCAGCCTATACTTGACATTTTGAAGCCCTCTGTAATTATTGTGTACCATCCAGACATGACATTTGTTCGAGAAATTGAAGTCTATAAAGCTGAAAATTCCTCAAAAAAGTTGAAAGTTTATTTCCTTTTCTATGAAGATTCTACTGAGGTCCAAAAGTTTGAGGCAAGCATACGAAGGGAGAATGGAGCATTTGAATCCTTGATTCGGCAGAAGTCATTGATGATGATACCAGTTGATCAGGTACGTCATAATCCTTTATTGGGAGAATATTCCAGAATCTTAAAAAATATTTGTATATTTATCAGCAAAATGTATATGATGACTATTCCTACAAGATGTAAAATCTTAGAATTGTGCTTCCTTGAGCTTATGTCAATACATGACTTAGCCAACTTTAAAGGAGGACAAGTTTCAAGCATACTTTAGAAATATACTTGAACTAGAGGGACATTTTTGGGATCATAGTGTTTTGGACTCGTCTTTGTAGAAGATTTGTTTCTAGTCTTCAGGAAATGCAAATTTAGTTACTATACCAACTTTAGTTAAATCTCTATTTTATATGTTGGACCAGAATGCAAATTGCATGGGATTGAATTATCCTATGGAGTCACAGCCTTCTAGTTCCCAAAATTCAATAACCAGAAAGGCTGGTGGAAGAAAGGAAGTAGAGAAAGAAATTCAGGTATGTCAGCAAACGTTGAGCCTTTCCTATCATTTGTAACCTTCTTGTCTGCTACAAAATAGTTTTATTATTCTCTGCCTTTGCAGGTCATAGTGGACATGAGGGAATTCATGAGCAGCCTTCCAAATGTTCTCCACCAGAAAGGGATGCGTATCATACCAGTGACCTTGGAAGTTGGTGATTACATCCTTTCTCCATTAATATGCGTGGAGAGAAAGAGCATACAAGATCTTTTTATGAGCTTCACATCAGGACGTCTTTACCACCAAGTTGAAACAATGGTCCGCTATTACAGAATGCCTGTCCTTCTGATAGAATTTTCACAGGAAAAAAGCTTTTCATTTCAGGTAAACTATGTTACATATAAAAGAATGCCTTCAGGGTCGCTTAAGTGCTTTAATAGCTTGATTAATAGGATATGAAATTTCTGCAGTCAGCAAGTGACATAGGTGATGATGTCACACCAAATAGTATCATATCCAAGCTGTCATTGCTTGTTATGCACTTTCCCCGTTTGCGAATCATCTGGTCTCGTAGTTTGCATGCTACTGCTGAAATATTTGCTTCACTGAAGTCAAATCAGGATGAACCTGATGAGGTCAAGGCAATAAGAATTGGTGTCCCATCAGAAGAGGGTATTGTGGAAGATGATGTGAGGTATTTGCCTTAATCTATTTTTTTCTTTCTTTAAAGCTGGCATTATTATGCTATGGTTGATGTATATGGTGCTTTGCTGCAAGATGGAGGCCGAATTTTAAAAACTTAGCTGGAGAGATCTGGTTGATTGCGAGCTTACTACCAATGACCAGTAGTTAATGTTGCAATTGGCAAGGGACTTAATAGTTAAATTTCATTTAAAAAAGCATTGAACATGTACTGGATTTCAGATATAGCGTTTTCTGTTAACTTGATAAAGCTTGGAATTTATTCTGTTGCTTATAGTTACTAATTTTATGTATTTATGTTGTGCATTAATGTTAAATCATTTGCTTGTTCGATCACAGAGCTGAGAACTACAATACATCTGCAGTTGAGTTTTTGAGACGACTCCCAGGGGTTACAGATTCCAACTATCGGGCGATAATGGATGGATGTAAAAGCTTAGCTGAACTTGCCCTTCTTCCTATAGAGAGGCTAACTGAACTAATGGGCGGTCAGAAGGCTGCACGAACCCTGAGAGACTTCCTCGATGCAAAGTATCCAACCTTGTTATAATGTTATTTGATATCATTCCAGTGGTACAGATACAGAAGCTGGATTGCCTATCTAGCGGTTTGTGCCAACTATGGCAGAAACTATGCATTTGTGTGACCTTTATGGTTGCTGTAGAAATGGTCATTAGGTTAGATTTGACTTTTCATTGTTGTATTGTTTATTAATTCATTTTATGATTTTTCAATTAAGAAGAATTTCATTGTATTTTTTCCAGATGAGCACAATATTAAGCAATTTTCAGCAACTGTTTGTACTTGTTTCCTCATCATTTATAAAAATTCAGGTAAATGTAAATATCGTATGTTTGAAATCTCTATGTAGACTTTATCATTTTTAGATAGGATTCTTTCTTAAGCTTTCTTTACGGTGGTCATCCAAAAAGAAACAAAAAGAAAAAAAAAAAGAAAATTAGATGAGATTATTATTTACATTTTATAATATGAGATGACAAAATTTAAAATTTAGTTTTATTTTTTGCCCTTTTTTTCTCACTGTACTTTAATCTAGTTTAAAAAGAAAAACGGAACGGTTCTTTAGACGGAAAAAAGGCGATAAAATTGTAAATGCAGCGATATGTCAGTTACATGGGCAACTGCCTCTTTTGTCTTTTTCCAAACAGATATATGATGATATGACATTAACATAGCGTCGTTTCAGCCAAAACGACATTAAGCAAAACGATGTCGCTTAGATAACAGAACAGAACTACCGGCAAAAAATCTGCACCTTTATAACCTTTCTTTATCAAAATCAAATTCAAGCGTGCCATCATCCATCAGTCCACAGCTCAATCCTAATCCATTCCTCTGCATCTCACAGAAATGGCCCTTTCTGCCTCCGCCAAGCTCACTACCGCAGCCGCCGCGGCCTCCACCTCTTCCCCTCTCAAACCTCAAATCTTCCAGTTCCATGCCACCACCAGGACCAGAAAAGCCAAACCTACGTTTGTTGCCTCAGTCTCCACTTCCTCTTCTGCATCGTCAAACTTAATTTCTCCAAATTGGGCTTTGGATAGCTGGAAATCAAAACCGGCGCAGCAACTCCCGGAATACCCGGACCAGCAAGAACTAGAATTGGTGCTACAGACCCTTAACAACTTCCCGCCAATCGTGTTTGCAGGGGAGGCGAGGAAGCTCGAAGAAAGAATTGCCAGTGCTGCTGTTGGAAACGCCTTTCTGCTTCAAGGTGGAGACTGTGCAGAGAGTTTTAAAGAGTTCAATGCCAATAATATTCGTGATACTTTCCGGGTTTTGCTCCAGATGGGTGTTGCCCTCACTTTCGGTGCTCAAATGCCCATCATCAAGGTCCCAACTTTATCCAAAAATTATCTTTTTTTTTTTAATTAAATTCCAATCAATATAATTAGTCAAAACACTTGGACTAATTTGGAATACTTTTTTGAGTGTTTTTACTCTCCTTAGTTTTCTAAAGGATGTTGATTGTTGTGATTGATTATGCTTTATATATTGAAATTTTGCCGAAATCATCTAAATTGGTCTTTATTTGGGGTTTGACCTTTTGTTAGTTGGTTCTTATTTTCTTTTTTTTTTTTTCCTCATATGTTTAAAGTCAGTGTTCCATATTTGAAGATATCAGTGTCAGCTAACATGATCATCACTTATACACGAGACATCATGTTTTTTTTTTTCTTCTGATATTATTGATGGAAAATGTCAACCTAAACCGTCCTTTTTTAACAGTTTAGAAGATTATGAGTAAAATAGTAGGAATTGGGTTGAGCTGAGAATGGAAAGAATTTATATGAACTTATCCTTAGAAAAATGTGAGTATCAGTTTCAAAGTTTCTGACTAAAATATGAGTACGTCTACTCTTTTTATAGGACCAAATCCAATGTTTGCAAGTTATAAAAGCATTGGAATTTTACAAATGCTTACAATATGAATTAAAATTCTTTGCACCAACATTTGAAATAATTGAGATTCATTTTAGATTTTCATTTACTGACTGATTTTCCTAGATGTGGTTTCTGGTTTGAATTTTCATTTGTGTCATTTAGCACATTCACCATTCCAAATCTTCCCTTATGCATAAGTTCACATCCCTCACTTCTGTCTTCCATAGCCTCTCTTTAACTGCTCTGTCAATTAGTGATTATGTCTCTTACTAATAGAAATGATTTGTGCTACACTTTTTTCACATTGCTAACTTGTATTTTTAGTGATCAAATTATATTAAATTTGTTCGGTGTCAAGGATCCACATCTCATAGTTGCCTCGATAATCTTTTGTGCTAATAGTTTTATGCCTTTAGGTTTAGGTTTCTATCATGTGTCTGGTGCTAAATGAAATTTACTTCAGTTTGTTGATATGGAGCACTCACAGTGATCAGATTTCCTTACTTAGAGCCTTGCACTTCAAATAGATTTGGTTTCTTTTTCTTATAAAGAAATTGTTAGGTGGAGCATTCACAGTGATCACATGTTCTTACTTGGAGCCTCGCATTTCATATAGGTTTGGTTTCCTTTTCTTATAAAGAGATTGTGTGAGTTTTGATCAACTGCATGACAGGTGGGAAGGATGGCAGGCCAATTTGCAAAACCTAGGTCAGAGCCATTTGAGATAAAAGATGGTGTGAAGCTCCCAAGTTATCGAGGAGACAACATTAATGCTGATGCTTTTGATGAAAAATCTAGAATTCCTGATCCTCAAAGGTTAATCAGAGCATACCTGCAATCTGTTGGCACCTTGAATCTCCTTAGGGCTTTTGCTACTGGTGGATATGCTGCCATGCAAAGAGTTTCACAATGGAATCTGGATTTTGTGCTGCATAGTGAGCAAGGAGATAGGTGTGTTCTGGACTTATTATTCTTATACATTGTCTTATTTTCATCCGTTTTCAATTCCACCTCCAGTTCAAGGCCTTGCACAGTCCACAACTGCAGTGTGATTTATTGCTGCATAAATTGTTCTTGCACGACATTGTTGCATCCTTGTTCACTTTTTGAGCTCCTAAAGACAAAACAGTTTGTCAAAATTAAGTATTTCCCGTGACTTGGTAGGCTTTGATGTTTTCTGTTAATGTAATTCATAAATTTGGTTGTGCTTTTACTGCTTCATGTTCTATTAGTTAGTCAAATTTGTAAGAATTAAAAATGTTTGTAAATGCATTATTATTTGCATTTACAAAAACTGAATCTTATTTGTAACTCTTTTTTCTAATATACGTATATGTATATATTGCTCAAAGCCAGGTACATGGAACTTGCCCGAAGAGTAGATGAGGCACTAGGGTTCATGGCTGCTGCTGGTCTCACTGTTGATCATCCTATAATGAACACGACTGAGTTTTACACATCTCATGAGTGCCTTCATTTGCCATATGAGCAGGCCTTGACCCGAGAGGACTCAACAAGTGGCCTCTTTTACGACTGTTCTGCTCACATGCTTTGGGTAGGTGAGAGGACTCGGCAGTTGGGTGGAGCTCATGTTGAATTCCTCCGAGGTGTTTCCAATCCTCTTGGCATTAAGGTAATCAGCAATTACAATGTCTAGAATCTACGAAACTGAAAACCATGCAAAAAAGAAAAAAAAAAGTAATACGAGATATTTGGTCTTTTTGCACTTGTGCAGGTGAGTGATAAGATGGATCCAACAGAGCTTGTGAAGTTGTGCGAAATCCTTAACCCTCACAACAGGCCTGGAAGATTGACAATTATTACTAGAATGGGAGCAGACAATCTGCGAATTAAACTCCCCCATCTCATTAGAGCTATCCGTCAGGCTGGGCTTATAGTCACCTGGGTCAGTGACCCTATGCATGGCAATACAATTAAGGCTCCATGTGGTCTCAAGACACGGCCATTTGATAATATCAGGGTAAGCCTTGTGAAATGACATTTCTCTGAACTTATTCATAATGAGTAAGATCTTTAATAGGAACTAACTTCACTTTTCTCAGGCTGAGTTGAGGGCATTCTTTGATGTGCATGATCAAGAAGGCAGCTACCCTGGTGGTGTCCATTTGGAGATGACTGGACAGAACGTAACAGAGTGTGTCGGAGGGTCAAAGGCTGTGACATTCGATGACTTAAATTCCCGTTACCACACACATTGCGACCCTAGGCTGAATGCATCACAGTCGCTAGAGCTGGCTTTTGCCATAGCAGAGAGGCTGAGGAAGAAAAGGTTAAGGTCCAGTGATGGTATCCTCAGCGGGCGCAGAGTTGGGGGATCTATGGCATAGGATGTAGTTTTGCTGATAAGTTATTTTGGCATTTATTTTGATTTGGTCCTTTTTGCTGTAAATTTAAAAAGACTACACGGTGTGTGCCACTCAAATTGCCTGTCAAACGGAGTCCCATTGGTTTTTTTTTTTTTTTTTTTTGCGAACCCTAGGCTGAATGCTCACAGTCGCTAGAGCTGGCTTTTGCCATAGCAATGAGAGGCCCTGAGGAAGAAAAGGTTAAGGTCCAGTGATGGTTAATCCTCAGCGTGGCGCAGAGGTTGGGGATCTATGGCATAAGGATGGTGTAGTTTTTGCGTGAAAAGTTGATTTGGCATTTTTATTTTTGATTTGGTCTTTTTGCTGTTAAACCTTTAAAAAGACTACACGGTGTGTGGCCACTCACAATTGCCCTGTCAAACGGAAGTGCCCATGGTTTTTTTTTTTTTTTCTTTTGTCAACTGGTAATCGCTGTCTCGAGTGAATAGGGGATTCCGTTTTTTTTGTCATCTCGTGTAAACCATGGATTTTTTATATATTCTGTCTGATTCTAGAAGCTTAACGGTCGAGGTAGCGATATTCATAGTTTTTTTTGTTTTTTTTTTTTTTTTTGTCAACTGGTATGTGCTCGATGAAAGGGTTCGTTTTTTGTCATCTCGTGCCTAAATGGATTTTTAATTCTGTCTGATTCTGAAGCTTACGGTCGAGGAGGTATTCATAGTTTTTGTTCATTACGAGTATTAGAATTTAATTTAGTTATATTTGAATTTCACAAATTTGGTTCTTAAAACTTTAACGTATGTGTTAATTTATAGTACTGATCTTAAACAATGAATTTCTATTTATTTGTAGCCGACAGAAACTTAAAAAAAAAAAAATCTCCAATTTAAGTGCAACTTCCAAGAGATTAACAACAAATTTACAATTATTGTTAAAAATTTAAAAATCTGTCTGTCTTAAACTCTTTTTTTATTCCTGAGATGACTTAAATTCACGAAATTTGGTCGTAGGATTTACCAAAGTCACGAAATATAAAATTTATAGATCGTAAAATCAACCGAATTTCATATTCCATTGTTTAAATAAAAAATAACATCCATGGATTAAAAGATATTTTCAGAAAAAAATTGAATGCTTTAATTTACTTTATTAATAAAAATGATAGAATTGAGAAAATTCCAGCATTGAAATGATGTTTTTCTCTATTCTAAATTATTGTAATTGGGAATACGAAGAAATATATTAATTCCATGGAGTATACTTCATCTTCTTCTCAATTAAATGAAAGAATTGGCAAATTCGTGAAATATATACATTCAATCATTTAAATTCCACCTATCCAAATAACCTCAAAAGTTTCTATAAATAAAATATGAGAGATTTAATTTAGATTGCATCAAGATTGATCACAGCTAGAGTGCAAGGCTCCAAAGCTACAAATTTTCATGTGTATGCGTACTTAAAAGTTAACGCAAGTTATTTGGATGAAATTCTTATATGGCATTATTGTTTATTTCTTAGGATATATTTTGTATCTTTGTCCCTATTTTGTTAAGCCAATGATATTTTCTTATTTAGTAAGATTTTATCTTTCCGTTTTAGTTAAAAGATCATTTTCTTTTCATAAAAGAAAAAGTAATTTATAGTTTAACAGGTAATTGGTTTTATAATAAACAGATGTCACTTGAACAGAGGAAATTGTCAAGTGTGCAGAGTAATAAAAGTTCTACATCATGGCAAGAAATGTTACGCAATGTCAACAAAGAAACATGTTAAGTTGTAACTGACCACTTCTTGGACAAAAAGTAACACCTTCCATCAATTCATTTTATATAAAATTCGACACCAAAATCGACAGGTTACACAATATAGGTAAAGAGACGCGCACACACATATATATGAAGCAAAAAACATTTTTATGAAGCTGAGTTGGTACTCTTCTCTTCAAGCATTTCCATTTTTCGTTTTTTATAAATTTCCCAGCCCTTGGTATCATACTGAGGAATTGCTTCACTATATATACTTCAATCACAGCAATGCAATTGCATATATCCACAATCATCAAAACAGAATGTCCTTTGAAGAAAAAAGTTGAGCAAACCTTGATTGGCATCATGAACAGCAAGGTCAGAGACATTCCAACTCCTGCATTTAGCAAAAATTTCACAAGCACACGGCCACTTACAAAGCGAGGGCGGATCAAGTCAAAGATTGCAACAAATGCTTTTCACTCCATTGTTTCTGTTCTATCTAGGGCCTCTTCACATCACCACTCTCTCAGGAAGAACTACCTGAGAGAGGGATCATAATGATAAAAATTATTGATGTAGTAATGGACAGTGTATGATCCTAATTCCTAAACATAATGTATTTACTGTTTTGTCTTCATCTTTTTCCCCCTATATATATATATATATTTTGGTTTTTATTAGTCCACTTGGAAATATTAATTTGAAGATATAGTATTTAGCTGTCAAAAGCAAAGTTCACAAAATTCACAACAAAGTTATCATGTTAGTCTTACATGAATGCCACAATTCAACATCAAAACCACCCAATTTGCCACTTCATCGAGATAATGTTCATCAGCTACAACCACAAATATTGTGCTGTAAATTCTTGGAATGCTATGAGATGACATCAAATAGAAACCCAATTGTCAAACAAATAGGTGTACATACAAGCTAAAGTCATTTGACACCTTTATACTAGTATTGTTATAAAGTCACTGCTAATTAACTCAACACTGGCTCTATCCCCACTAGATGTCTACTCACCCTGTCTTGTAATATTAGATGAACCGTTCCTCCAACAAGGTCGTCCTACCTGTCAATGGTGATTCTTAAAGGTTATAATTGATAGTTTGTACCAAATGAAATAGAAGTTATAACTGAATGGATTATGACAAACCTGATTAGATAAATTATTAAGAGTCTAAGGCTCAAGGACCATTGAAGTAAGCAAATGGATAGACATCTGTTAGTTATAATAGAAATTAAGAAAATATTTTGTATGCTTCACAATGCATAGATTCATAGAAAACCGCCATTTTGTTTCAACTCCGGCAAAGCTAACATTTGTCCATATAGCCTTCCAAATTCCATGTAAATTTCTTTGTTTTGAGGATGTGAGATGTCATCGACAAAAAAGTTGTGGATTGTTCCTCCTACTTGAATCCAGCTAGAACCCGGTTCTTTGCGTAGTACTTTTTCTTTCATCTCTTTTCTCAATTTTCCAACAACATTCCACATGCCAGCAGAAGCATACAGATTTGATAGAGGAATATAAACAGATTCATTTTCAGGTTGCAGCTCCAGAAGTTTTACTAGCTGCAAGTCAACATGTCTGTGGATGTTGCATGCTGAAAGAAGAATTCGCCATAAATGAATGTCATGTTGAATGGGCATATGATCTATCATCTCCTTTGCATCTTCAAGAAGTCCCACTCGACCAAGCATATCAACCATGCAGGCATAATGTTCTAAGCATGGGATAATTCCATGAAGTTCAGACATAGATTTTAAGTAATAATGTGCTTATTTAAGTAGCCCAGCATGACAGCATGAATTAAGAATACTGAGATAAGTTATCTCATCTGGTTCTACTACAAATTTGAGCATTTCATCAAAACTCTTGAAAACTTCTCGACAACAACCATGTTGTGCATATCCCATCATCATGGCATTCCAAGCAGCTAAATTGTCTGTAGACATACTGCTGAATGTTTTCTTTGCATCGCCTATCTTTTCACATTTACAATAGATGTCAATTAGAGAACTTTCAACAAATCTATCCTGAAAAAGTCCAGATTTTAGTAATAAAGAATGAATTGTTCTCCCTTGTTCCATATCTGTCATAGCACAACAGGCTTTGAGCACAACGCTGAAAGTTTTTCCATCCACTACTTTTGATCATTTATTTTTCTATTTCATCTGATTTTAATATTTTATAAATTTTATTTATAATTTAAAATTTTAAAAATTTTAGGTGGGCTTCTTATGTTCTATCGGAGGATCTGTTTGTTATTGGTCTTTACTAGTGTTTCGAGAACCGGATCAGTCAGTGAATCGGTGAAGATAAGGGTTCACTGAACCAAAAGGTTCAATCGGATTCAATATGCTTCAACCGGATTTTTCTATACAATACTTTTAAATATATTTATTAAATAAAATTGAAAGGATAGGATAAAAAAATTTTTAATATCAAATAAAAAAACATTTTCAAATCTTTTATAAAAAAAATATAAAAATTAGTAAATAATTTTAAAGAAAAAGAACAAAATATTACTAAATTTAATAATAAATAAAAATCAATTAATTATAATAAAATATAATATTATTTTTCACATTTGAATTTAAAGTTGGAAAATTTAATTTTTTTAATTAATATAATAGGATCTTAGATTTATAAATAAAGAGGCTCAAAACAAAAAAATCACTGGGTCCAACTTTTGAGAGGCCGAGATATAAAAAGGGCTCACAATTAGAGATAAAAACCCATAATTTGAATCGAACCAGTTTTTAACCGGTCCAATTCACCGACTTTTGGTCAGTTTCTTCTGGTTCTTATTGATTTATACAGGTTTTAAACTCCCAAATTTTCTATGTAACCCGGATTGAATCACTATCATGTTCCCGAGTAAACCGGTTGAACCGGTCAGTCTGGTCCGGTTTTTATAACTGATCGAACCGGCCAATCCTGTCCGGTTAAATGGCCTAAGGTTATGCTTGTAATTTTACTATTGTAATTATAGTAAAACGTCGTATAATCATTTTGCTCGGTTATTTAATACATTTTCTCCCATTCGGACTAAGACAATGGCAATAGCAATATTTCTATAAATTCTTGTATTAATACATTTGTAGGAAACATTGAATCAATCATAAACATTTGTTCCCAGAATTATCCATTTTTCTATTTTTTTATAAAATATTAAGTTGTAAGTGACTACTTCTTACACAAAAAGTAACACCTTCGATCAATTGTAGCTCATCGCATTTTATATAAAATTCAAAGTCAAAAAGCAACGGGTTACACAATATGTAGAATTGTTACTATTTTCTCTTGTATGGATTAATTATTATACTTTCTGCGATAAATATACTCTTCACAATTTGGGAGGAGGAAGCAGCCATTTGGAACCTTCAATATAACTAAGAGAAATAAAAGGTTTTACTTCTGCTTCAGTCAGTTGCTTGGCAAATTTAACACGTCCATCAGCAGCTGCGCCTGGTCCTGAATTCTTAAATTCTCCAAAGAAGATCTCTCTGCAAAGTGCACAGAACCTTATTGAAATATGCAAAATGAGTATTATAGATAAGTCATTTTATGAGTTTAAAGAGATTAGTTAAAAATTTCTTACGGCTCTCTTTCAGGATGTTCATTATTAGACCATCCTTCGGGACAGATAACCTCACTTATGGTACTATATGCAAATATCGCCTTAGGAGCTGGCATCCATGCTCGGCCTAGGAATGCTCCTTTTGCTTTTCCAGTTATGCTACAATGAACAAATGAAAAGCCAGTATCTTCAGCATTTCCTCTTGCTTGTGCAACAATCACTGTCATGTCCTTATCTTGTATAACCTCTAACTGGGTATTCTGCATGGAATATATATTGATGTTGATATTCAAGAAATAAAGATACTATGTGCATATAAACAAAATCCAATATATGTTGAGTTTTAATGGAAGTTTTATTACCAGATAAATAGACTTTCCACTCCCAAAGATGAAATCAACGGTGCCTTCAACGTAACAGTCTTTCCAAAAGTGAAACCCTTTGTCATCGCATATTGTATCTTGAAATCCAATAAATTTGCAATTGTAAAAACTTGACATACTTCCAGCAATTCTGAAAGCAACTGCTTGCGCTCCAGGTCTTACTCCATCAGGCGGAGGTGCAGTATTCTAATGCAATAGTAAGTCCATAAATTGTTAAAACGTGACAGAAATGAAAAGCATAAATAACGGAAGAAAAGCTAAAGCGTTGTAAATGGACCTTGATAACTAAACCGCTTCCCACAAAGAAATCAGACTCCACTTGTAATGTTGCGCTATACACAGTTCCAAATTCATGAGCAGTGCCAGCAAATTCTATGATTGTCTTCTCAGGTACTCCGACAAACGAAACAAAGGGCTTATCTTTTTCAATGGTAATTTTCTCGGTATAGGTTCCAGGTCCAATATCCACAATCACGCGTTGTGCATTTTTGGCTGGAATGCTCTTAACAGCATCTGTTATAGTCTTGAACTCTCCACTTCCTTGATAACTAAACCGCTTCCCACGAAGAAATCAGACTCCACTTGTAATGTGGCGCTATACACAGTTCCATATTCATAAATTCTATGATTGTCTTCTCAGGTACTCCGACAAACGAAACAAAGGGCTTATCTTTTTCAACGGTAATTTTCTCGGTATAGGTTCCAGGTCTCAAAACGGTAATAGTTTTCTCGCGTCATAGGTTCAGTCCAATATCCACAATCACGCGTTGTGCATTTTTTGGCTCTGGAATGCTTACGCATCTGTTATAGTCTTGAACTCATCACTTCCAGTTCTGCTCTTCACCTTAATAAGTTTGTAGTAGCTTCAGCGCTCTCAGGGTCGCAGCATTTAAGCAGTGCCCTTTACGGTCTCGCCAGTGGACTTGACATTTTGCTTCAAACCAAGCGTTTACTTTCAAGGTCAGCATTTAAAGTGCCCTTACGGTCTGCCAGTGGCTTGACATTTGCTTCAAACCAAGCGTTTACTTCAGCTTCAGCCTCTGGTATTGGTGCTGCATCATCAGAGGTAACAGTTGTGGCTGTAAAAACAATGGCGATGATGGCATATTCGACGAATGCGAGGAGACTAAGGCGTTTAATCATCTTGTATAGATTTTTAGTTTCTTGATATGTGTCTTGTTTCTTTTTTATTATGAATGTCGCAATTTATATAACACTGAAGAGGAAAAAGTCTTAATACAATTGAGATTTAGAAAGTTTATCGCATTCTCTTGCTTTCTTTTGCGGTAATGGGAGTGTTTCTCGTGTATCTTGTTTGAAATTTGTGGCTTGTGTCACTTCTAATTTTTTTTTCTTTAGTTATTTTGTAATTCAAAATAAATACAAATATTTTTTTTTTTCACATTAAAAAAACAATGTAAAATGCATTTGAAACTTTACTTTACCTAAAAGTCAGACGGTTGTTGGGCTTTGAAGGCCTGTTTGTTGTTAACCAACATGGTCATAGCGGGGACCTTGCTCTGTTATGGAAGGATAAAAACTCTTGTTCTCTTATTGGCTATAATAATAATTATATTGATGTTGGCATTTATATGGATGGTGTTAAGCCTTATAGATTTACAGGTTTTTATGGTTTGCCTGAGAGAAGTCCTCATTGAGAGTCTTGGAACCTGTTGATCTCTTTGAAAAACAAATCGTCTTTACCATGGTGTGTTGGGGGTGACCTTAATGACTTATTGGCTCATAATGAAAAGGCAAGTCGTATTAATCATCCTGCTTGTCTCATTAACAGTTTTAGACGCACTATTGCTTCTAGTGGTCTGTTTGATACTGGTTACACTAGCAATAAGTTTACTTCGGAATGAGGACGTGGTACTGTAGGCTGGGTTTCAAAAAGGCTTGATAGATGTTTGGCAATAGATAGTTAGTTAAGGCAATTTCCCCTTGCCCAACTTTTTTATTTTGAAGCAACCCAGAGTGATCACAATGCTATTTTTATGGGGTTGGGTATTACAATAATTCGTTATGCCCCCGTCTGTTTCAGTTTGAGAATGCTTGGTTGTGTGAAGAGAATTTCCATGAGGTTGTTCAAGCAGCTTGGTTTCCGAGGACTAGTATGAATATTTTGGAACGAATTTATAACCGTGTTGCAGCTCTTCATAAGTGGGGCAATCACAAGCATATAGAATTTAAAGCAAAGTTGCGCCAGAGCAAAAATCAAATGCATCGTTATAAGGGGGGACATGACGCTTGCTCTATTACACTATATCGAATAGCGCATGAGGCATATATGGCAGTCCTTGGCTAACAAGAGGCTTATTGGTGGCAGTGGTCAAAGCAATTATGGTTGCGAGATGGTTAACTTAATATTAAATATTTTCCATTTGATGGCATCTCGTAGAAGATGAAAAAATGCTATCAATCAGTTGCGTGATACCGTTGGTGCTTGGGTTGTTTGGGATAACAGACTGGATAAGATCATTATAGAGTATTATGTTAATTTATTCCGATCATAGCAAGGGGAGTTTGATACAGGTCTTCAGTGTGTGGAACCTAAGATTTTGGAAGAACATAATAGTGAGCTTCTGGAGTCGTTTGCGATGAGTGAAGACAAGGATGCGATTTTCATCATGCATCCTGATAAAGCAGCTAGACTGGATGGCTTTAACCCTGCTTTCTTCCAAGCCTTTTGGCCAATAGTTGGTGGGGATGTGGGTCGTGCTTGTCTGAATAGTGGGGGCACCTCTTCCAGGACTTAATAAGACTAATATTGTTCTCATTCCTAAGAAGAAATGTCCAGAGTTTATGTCGGATCTACGACGAATTTCCCTTAGTAATGTTATTGATAAAATTGTGGCAAAGGCTATGGCAAATAGATTGAAAAGGGTCTTACCTTTGATTATTGATGAAGCCTAGAGTGCTTTCATTCTGAATCATTTGATTGCTAATAATGCAATGATTGCTTTTGAAGTGATGCACTGTTTGAAGCGTAAATCTCAGAGAAGTGCAGGGATTGCAACTTTAAAAACTAATATGTTTAAGGCGTACGATAGGGTTGAGTGGAGGTTTCTGGGAGAATTGATGTTGCCAATGGGTTTTGCTCAGGCCTAGGTGGATAAAATCA